CAAAGTGTTTGCATTACAATAGATTCTCTGCTTAATAAAAGACTATATTACATGCTTTCGAGGTTAAGGCTGCACAAATAAGATCTCGAAACTGGAGTATTGCAGGCTGAACGCTCTGGATTTCTTTGCATGGTGAAACCTTCAGTAGCGACGTAAGCTTTAATATAAATTGTATTTTTTCGCGACWTTATTTAGTTTTGTCTTTTGCGTCTTTGTCTTTTGATATTCTAGTACGATGCGGTCATCCAACCGGACAATGAAGGCATCGTACACCACATGATCATCACTGTTTGTGACCCAAACTTCCCCGAGCACTACAATGATTACTCTGAGGATTGCAAGAAAAGAGCAAATATGCCTGCTGAGGTTCTGGGCTGTCGACGAGAAGGATTGATGGCAGGTGGTTGGGCTGTTGGGGGAGGAGTAAGTATCCATCATACAATACTCCATTTTTGTAACCGCTGTTTAATTGACAGCAGATTCTCTTAGGCAAAGATCTTACCAGACACAAAAGAAAGCACGAGAAAATGTTGTTAATACAATAGCGCTAAACTAGTAAACACCTTTCATTCACACTATTGTGTTTTAAATTTTTTATTGGTCAGAAGACCATCAGTTCATTCTTCATATATTGATATGTCATGCATCACACCGTCCATCATTATATTTATTATACATTTGTTTTTGATTAGTCCCCATTATAGACGGTGCAAAGGATTAACTTTTCAAAGTAACGCTGTCCACCGGGATTTTGGTTAAAAATCTTAGTATTGCAACGAACATTGCTGATTTTCTTGTCTATTTTGATTCCATCCTTACAGCCTTTCATATACCCCAGTCATGTTGGTTTTGCAGTGGGTAGTGAGTTTGCTGGGAGACACTTCATCTTGGAAATTCACTACGATAATCCTGGACAAAAAAGCGGTATAAAATGCGATTGTTTATGAAAGTGGTTTGGCTGGCTGGTGGGTTGTTTAATTTGTTAGTTGGTTGGTTGGTTGGCTGGCTGGCTGAATGGATGGCATGTTGGCGTGTTGGTTGGTTAGTTGGTCGGTTGGTTGGTTGGTTGGCTTGTTGGTTGGTTGGTTGATTGATTGGTTGGCTTGTTGGCCAGTTGGTTGGTTGGTTGTTTAGTTGATTGGTTGGTTTATTGGTTGTTTATTGGTATGTTGGTCGGTCGGTCGGTTTGTTGCTTGGTTTATTGGTTGACTAGTTGACTTGTTGGTTGGTTAGTTGGTCGGTTGGTCGGTTGGTTGGTTGGTCGGTTGGCTGGTTGATTGGTTGGCTGGCTGGCTGGCTGGCTGGTTGGCTTGTTGGTTGATTGGTTGATTGGTTGGTTGGCTTGTTGGTTAGTTGGTTGTTTAGTTGATTGGTTGATTTATTGGTTGTTTATTGGTATGTTGGTTGGTCGGTTGGTTTGTTGCTTGGTTTGTTGGTTGGCTGGTTGAATGGTTGACTTGTTGTTTGGTTGGTTGGTGGGTGGGTGGGTTGGATGGTTGATTGGTTGGCTTGTTGGTTAGTTGGTTGGCTGGTTGTTTAGTTGGTTGGTTTATTAGTTATTTATTGGAATGTTGGTTGGTTGGTTGACTTCGCTTTCTTTCTCTTCTTCTTCTTCTTCTTCTTCTCCTCCTCCTCTTCTGTGTTCTCTTCTCTTTATTGCGATTTCCTCGTCGACAGATGCCTCATCATATATGTCGTACATTCTAGATTTTTATGACAGCTCTGGCATGAGATTCTATTACACCAACAAGCTTAGGGAATACGATGCGGGCCTTTTGAGCGGTGGTGTTGTTACTTCCAAATGGATGATGATCCCACCAAAACAACAAGCCTGGAAGACTGTTGGATATTGCTCAAAACAATGCACTGAGGAGGTATAAAAATTAACCCCCCTTCCGCCGTACTGAGCATTACTCATGTGGTAGTAATCAATAAGTAAGGAAGCAACCGTTCTCTCTCTGCTAATTTYCTTTTTTTCAGGCTTTGAAAAATAGTCCGCTGCCAGAAGGTGGGATTAAGATCTTTTCTTCCAATTTGCACACTCACCTCGCAGGTAGGGATCTGTAGACGATGATATTTTTAAATAATATAGCTATATAGTGTTAGAWTTTCCCTACAGGAGCCTGATATGTCGTTTCCTTTGCCAACATCATGAATGTTCAGCGAGATGAACTAAGAAACGAGCCATTGAAGTTCGATAACTTTAATTTCGCAAATAAAGTYCGCCCAAAATCTTGCATCCACCATTTTGATAACAGTATCAATACCAAGATGCACTTCGCCAAAATTACCTCTGATTTTACGTCATTTTTCTCCAGGTCGAGCTGCTTGGACACAGCATATCAGAAATGGAGTTGAATTGCCTGAGATAGATCGTGACGACAATTATGACTTTAATTTCCAAGTAGGTTCGGCTTCCATTAATTCTTATCCTAGAAAATGACAGAAAAGTTTAAAAGAACGCACGTGATGRTTTYTTTTTTTTTTTTGACAGGATGCTCGGACTCTTGAAAGGGAGATCCACTTTAAACCTGTAGGTACCAGCACTACAAGCATTAGGTAGTGGTAGTCCTCGTGTGTTATTGTTCTGTAAAGTCAAAAAAAAGTCGAATATCCTTAAGACGGATTTACAGGGTACGATCGTTGCGAGCGACTTGTAATAAGTAAAAACTCTGAAGAAAGTGGTGGAGAACCCATGAAAGGCCCGTGAAATTTGGTGAATTACTAGCATTTTGAATGTCCTTAGGGTGATGAGATTATCCAAACCTGTATCTACAACACGATGGATCGTGAAAACATGACCTACGTAAGTATATATGAGTTTTTTTTTTTAATGATATAATTACCCATAAAAATCTATATTTCTCACTTTCGACAAAATTCTCTCTTCAAACCCAGAAGATAAAACTCATATCTCCTTTTAGTATAAACATACTAATGGKCTATCACTCATACTGCGCTGTGATTGGCTACTCTTCTAATGGTCTAATTTGTGATAGACCACTCGCGGGAAAATCAAAATGGCGGCATTAATAAATTATTTTAAGGATATTTCAATTTGTTTTCATTATTTGACCAATTAGTATGTTTATACTAAAACAATTAGACCTCTCGGCCTCGTGGACTACGAGCTAATAGAGAGTTTTAGCATCACGTTGACGGCAAACGGCTAACGGCAGAGCTGAACCAATGACCTAAGAATTTCGTGCCCGACCTTGTGCTTTTGGTAGTCATTTGAAAGAGCGGCTTTTCACGATTATGGCAACCTCAAAATAACCCGCTCTCGCGTTGAAACTGCAACGTTAAACTCAAAAAAAGCAGGTCACGTGATCTTTTCTGCCGTTTGGCGTTTGCCGTGAACGTCATGCTAAACCTYTCTAATATCCCATTCGGCCTCGCGGACTCGGCCTCATGGGCTATTAGCTCGTAGTCCACTCGACCTCGAGGTCTAACTGTTGAATATCCTTTAGATATGTTTCATTTATTATCCAACTAATCTTTTTGGTATTGTTTTGACCACCAAGTATTTTGGAATACGAATGGTCCCCCCGGAATAGGCAACAAAATTCTATTGCTAGCTATGGTTAATTGATAAATCAACAGGGTGGAGCTGCTACAACCGATGAAATGTGCTTGAATTACCTTACTTATTACCCATTTCTACCCAATATGTCTCGCGTTTGTAGATCGATCGATCTGCAAGCTGGGTCAGCCATGTTGAAAAAGTACTATCCGTAAGTACATTCACCATTTTGAGGTGGTTTATGTTTTTTTTAATGTAAAAGCTGAAATAAACTTAAAGTAGTAGTTCCAAATTGTGAATCTGCTTCAGATCCGCTAGTTTTAAATGGACATGGTCCACCAGCATTCTATGGTCGTGTTTTAGATTTTTCATATATAGAAAATGAAGCGACTTCCATCGATTTATAAGTTTTTGGTTATATTACGATATATTTATCTCGGAGTCATCCGCCTAACTAACTAACTAACTACGATATATTTTTACTTTCAAACGTGAGCAAAAGCTTGAATGGGCTGCTGGTGGACCATGTTCCTTTAATTTCGAATCTTACAATATCTCCATTCACATATAGAGCATAAACAGATAACAACGTGTTTTTACATTTATACGATATATAATATATATTTAAGAAATATAAAACGGCGYGCGTGTCTCTGTCCTCTGATATAAACACGGTGGGAGTTCGAAAAACACGAGAGAAGCAAGCTTAGGAACACGAGCGTAKCTTCAGTACAAGCAACGCCATATTTGGCAGCATGAACAAAAGATGTTTGTACCGAATTTAGATCACAATGCAATCAAACTGCTATCTCAGAAAAGGCCTATTTGGTTTTCGCTTTAGCGAGCTTAAGTCGCCAACGAAAGCGATGAGGAACCCGATTATGGCTAGCAACAAGATATGGACAAAGGAAATGATTGACGACTATAAGAAAATGCTTGATGGCCAAACTGGTTATTCTGCGACTTCCCATGGCTGTAAGAATCGCAACAGCTACAACTTGAATCTTACACTTGAGGTAGGTGTGGACTGCATGCCAGATTGATTGGATGAAGGGAGGGAGGAAGAATCGATAGACTGTTTGGTTGATTGATTGATTGGTTGATTGATGGATCAATTGTTGAATGATTGATTGATAAATTAATTGATGGATCCATTGATCGTTTGGTGATTGATTGATTGATTAATTAATTGATTGATGGATCGATTGTTTGGTTGGTTGATTGAATGATTGATTATTCATAGATCGACCGGCCGATTGACTGATGGAGTTATTTCTAGATGATTTGTCCATCAAAAAAGATTTAGTAGAATCGCTTTATAAATATATTTTTGTGTAACACTCTTTAGGAAGCAGTCAAAGATAAATACCAGATCCCAATACCAAAGATCACTACACCGCTACCTAAACCAACCGACAACTGCAAAGATGTGAACAGCTCAGCTATAACACTATCCGTCTGGTTTTTGTCTCATGTCGTTTGTCTCGTTGCAGTGACCATTTTAACATAGGACGTTTCTGTCATGCTTAGTATTTCTTAATAAATTAGAATGCATTGGACTCAATTCGTAACGTTCCTTCGAGTAAAGGACTAACTGTATAATCATGGCAATGAACAGCGYCGCGATTTAAATTGGATACAAATTAATTAACATTCAATACCGTCTCGCTTTAGGTCGACTTTTAGTACGAATTAGTACTACTACTTTGATTTTGTAAGTGCAATCACACTAACTTCTAAACTTACAGTGTTACGGCGACTCGCTCCGCTCGCACTCGATGAACTCCACTGTCAATACTTAACGTCCCTCCCCCTTCGCCTTTTTATCACAAAACATTAGACATACAATTACATTAGCCTTTAATCAGAAAACATGCATCAGCGGTTACAACATCCCAAGGCTAAAGTTWACTACCACGCGACTGCACGAGCAATGTTTATTCGTCCATTGCTCGCGAGGTCCGATAAAAACTATATAAATTTAACGTATACAAAGATGTTATATTATTAATGCAAGCGCTTACACAGCACAATAACGACAGTGCTATTATATACTCGTTCTTAACGACTTCTAAGCCGCTGGAAGCTAGGAAGAGATTGCCAAATTTCCATCGTCTTTTCTGGGGTTAACATGTACGCTGAATGAGCCAAGATGATTTCACACACAGGGAAGAGACCTATGAAGACTAATAAGGTACCAATAACCCAATTGGAATGGTTATATCGATATGAAAATACTAACAAAACTTGGTGTTTAGTAACAAGATGCTACAATAAGTTCCTTTATAATAAATGAAATAACACAAAGATTTGTTTTAGAGTTTAGTATCTTCTTCTACATTTTTTACCATCCACTTTTCATTTAAAAGAAGTTTGAGAATTTCAGTTCTCAAATCAATTAAAAATCACTAATGAAGATTATATCATTTTGAGAAAGCAGACAATGAAACTAATTTTGTCTTGGTTTAKAAAATGGAACTGATACGAGTACAATTGTCCCATAAAAATTGATATCACCTCGAMMCCAGGTCCCTTTTTCTTCCAAAAAAGAGAGAGAAGACCTGGGATTGAGGGAGAGACTTTCTTTATATCTTTTGTGAATGTTCTTCAAAGTGGACTATGTAGACAGATAAAATGAATGTGCATGCTCATAAAACTAGAATTGCTAATAAATATACGTTGATGTTGAGGTCTACAACATCTACGAGGGCACGAAAGCATATTGGTACTAGCAATAAACGGTGCCTAAAACGTCTATTAAAAGACAAAGATACTTGAATTCTAAGCGCGYTTCAAGTTATATATGATTAATGTTTGATTAAATCATAAATAAAAACATAATACAAACAAATTATTAAACAAAAAGCGATTTTCACTTTAAACTTATAACTATTTACCAACACTCAACACACGATTATACGACCACCCCAAACCGACCATGTAGCTTGTACACTTWTTGTTTATGTAGACTAAGACCTTTATTTACCGWGCGGTCGGTTTATGAAGGGTACGATGTGATAAGATGCACACTGGTGTAGTATATAGAAGAACACTCCATCTCGCTTGTCGGCCACTGGTCGGTCTGCGGAGGTCGAAAGTTGCGCGGCCGCGTGGGCTTTGATATTAACTACAGTATGTATGATGAATGTGTATCGATGCTRCTCGGTATTTTAAATAAGGACTTTCTTCAGGCCTGTCTTAAGTCTTGACTATAAAAAAATTATAATAAACTTGGAAAATTTAAAATTTACCCAAACTTACTTCTTAAAATGAAAACTTTATAAAAAATGTAAATTTTATACAAAAAAGCACTATTCCGTGCCAAAAACAAAACGTTTGGCAAAGCAATGTAAACAAACACTGTTAACCAATCAAGTCAAGACGAGACCACGTGCTTAACTTATCCAATCAGGTGCTATCTTACAAAGCACCTTCGTCCCACTCCAGGCTCTGTTTGGCCTCTTGATTGTCTTCATCATCGCTGTTGTTTTCGGAATCTTTGTCTTCGTTGAGATCAAGTTCTTGGAATTTCTGCAGTGGATTCACYGTAATGCGAACACCGCCAAGGCCGGTGTCGTCCCAGTACATTTCTTCTTTCTCTCCTGCTGTAGCTTCAACTTCAAGCACGTTGGAATTCCTAGTGAATTTATATACATAATATATGAATATATGAGTCTTAAAGAATCCTAACCAACCGCCGTATCTTGCGCGCTCGCATTATTGTTTACATACGTTTAAATRCGTCAAGCATACAATAGATTATAGATTGATAGTACCTGTGAGGTACTTAGTTAAAGGTATTTCTGTCCAAACTGAAAGAATGGAAGACGATTCGCGCTGACTTTAAGAAATCCTAGGAAGCCGCCACTTTCGTGCCCACCTAAAATGGCGCTTCGGCTCGCAAGGTTACGGCGGTTGGTTATGATTCTTTAATAACGAGCAATCGATATATTGGGATTGTAAATCGGTTATGTATTTTCTCATTTTGACATCCACAAGTAGAGCAGAATCAGGAAAACCATGAAATAAAACCAAACTAAATACTAACAAATAGCGGCTATTTAGAGACAATTTGTCAGTATCGCAATAAAGATCAATTCACATGCGAACATTTTCAATTCATCTTTATTGAATTCTGGTTCATTGATAGTGACAAATTGTATCGCAATAAAGATCAATTCACATGCGAACATTTTCAATTCATCTTTATTGAATTCTGGTTCATTGATAGTGACAAATTGTATCGCAATAAAGATCAATTCACATGCGAACATTTTCAATTCATCTTTATTGAATTCTGGTTCATTGATAGTGACAAATTGTATCGCAATAAAGATCAATTCACATGCGAACATTTTCAATTCATCTTTATTGAATTCTGGTTCATTGATAGTGACAAATTGTNTTGGTTTTATTTCACGTTTTTCCTGCGTTTGCTCTAATTAAGTTACCTTGTCAATCAATCAAACAGTCCATTAATAAAAYAAGGATGCAGCAAATCAAGAAATCCATCAATCAACCATGCAGTCAGACAMACAAYAAACCAAATTATCCATAAATAAATACACCAATCAATCAAGTAGCCTCTTTCGCAGCCTCCCCTTTGTCGGGCAGCAAAAAGCCGACAAACGGGAGGCTGCGAAGGAGTCTATCAATCAAGAGACACGCAAGAAATGGATCAACCAGCCAATCAACCAATCAATTATTCAATCAATCGAAGTACAACACTCTCAAAGCTACAGCGGCTATAAATTKCTTCCTAACCCACTACACATCCCATAATTTCKTACCCAAAGCCGCAAAGATGGCGGCCTCATTGAAAATAAGTTCTTTATCACAAATTAGTCAAGTWAAACAGACAGAAATAATTGATGCAGTTGAACTAACCTTCTCAACCTATACACTCCAAGCACAACCAGGAAAATGAAAACTGATACACTRCAGACTATTATAGCAGCAAGCAAACCACTTGAAACTGTGTTCTTTACAGCAACTTTCTCCACTGTAACAGCTCCAGGCAATTCCTCTGCACTTAGACTCTCTTTAACGGCTTCAAGGTTGAAAGGACGTAGTCTCACGGCCTCGAAATGTTTTTTGAATTTCTTGACTTTTGGTTTCAGAATGGATAAGTTGAGTCGTTCTTTGTCGCTCATAAAGCGGCCATTTTGRTCGGATACGTAGATCTGTGGATAAGTATATTATGAACCTCGTTAGTCCGGCCACCAACGGGACATCGAAAAGTGGACGCAATAGCGAGTGGTGGTATTAACCGATCAGGAAAGAAAGGTCGTTTGTATGACCGAGACAAAGAAATCTGGCCGCTATAACGGGTTGGTTGTATGGTCGGTATACACCTTATTTGGAAGACAACATGTTCGGACTGAAAGGTAACACCACTGAAGCTAAGACCTAAGGGGATTCTGGTGCTTGGAAATCAAATCAGCTGAAATGTGTACATTATCAACACTCCTCGTAAAGAGAGATTTTAGTGCAGACAAAAGTTCTTTTTATATACATGTACAAATTTAATTAACATTCTTTGTTGCATTCCCTGCTCCCTTTCGATCTTTTACGCCAMCTGCGTGATTTACAGTGCATTGTGAGATTAGTTTCTTGAGAAAACAAAATTAAGGAAATCCACCATGTTTTGTCCCAAACATATCCCACAATGCACTGCGTATACTGTATATGACGTAAAAGCTTCAGAGGTCTATTTCAATCAACAAACTTACGTAGAACTTGTGATCTAAGTCGTCGTCGGGGTTCAAATTCTGATAAACGATTTCTCTCAGCAGTCTCTCGTACGTCTTGTAGTTTGCGACACCAGATATAACCAAACCACTCTTGTCGCTGTAKGACTCGAGTTCGACATCCTCGACAATCGATATATTGCTGTATTTTTGCTTAGGGAGATGTAGAGACTCCCCTTTTTTGAGTTTAGGGCTGACTTTGATAACGGCTCTATCAAGGAGCTTCACAGTGTTGACTGGGGAGTTCATTCTAGGTTCACAGCCTCGATAATCGATCTCGAGATTGCTGCACAGAGGAACTCCCATGTCTTTMAGGCGTCTCTTGTTAACCCTTTCGTCCTTACAACCTTAAATATTAAAATGTCATKAGTTTAATAAATTCTTTTGGGCATATAGTTTGAATACGAAAAGGATTACAAGAAGATTTATCATTTTYACTACGTAGTGTATATATAACATATAAACAAAGGAGAATCGCCGAAGCGCTTTATATAAAAGAACAAAAACCATCCTTGAATGAACAGGGACAGTCAATTCCCTTAAGTCTTTTGAACTAACAGTTATTCATGTAAGTTCAGTTTGCAGTCGATGGCCTTTGGATACTAAGGCCGAAATATACACTACGTAGTAAAAATGATAAATCTTCTTGTAATCCTTTTCGTATTCATTAGTTWAATTAGTTGAGTTTAATTATATATCCACTTGAAAAATTCCTCTAACTGCCGAACTGAACACTGCCTACGGCCTCGTTTAATTTTGGCTGTCCATGRAATTTTCCTTACCCAATAATTTATTAATTGGAAACCATTTAGTCCTATTACGTTTAAAATTACCAGCTATCAAAATATTATGATGAAAATAACGATTTATTAATATTTTATATATAGATATTGTCAACTTTTGGAGAATTTTTGYAAAATGCAATGCTCTTGGATCCGCCAAGGTTATAAAGGGTTGGCGGCAAACTCGAGATAAGATTATTMAATGGAGAGGTTTAGAGAAGCGGAGATGAAATTTCTATCCGATTAAAACTGCTTTAGTTGTTTTTCAGAGTCCAATTCAGATTTTCTCCTTTAATTTATTTACACCTAATTGAAAAAACGTAGTCGTGTTCGAAAAGGTCACATAGAAGCTAAGACCGAAAGGGATTTTGAGTACCACTAAATTGGGATTACATTTGCATATACGGTGTACACTAAGCAAGTAGAGCTAGTACGATTAACAGCATGCTAGTCTTTTATGCTGGAGAGCTGTTTGTTATGAAATTAGCCAAATTGTTTGTCTTCCCAAGTACCCTTTCGGTCTTAGCTTTCTATGATTTGCCCTTTTTGGACCCGACAACGTTTCTTCAATTAGGTGTATATCATAATTATAGTATTCATACCTTTAACAACAATAATTGGTTTATTGTTGCGGTCCATATTAACATCAACCGTAAACTTTTCCTTCATATTTGTGGTCTTTTCAGTTATGGTGATGCGAATCTTTCTCTTGCCCTCTGTTGGTGTGAATAACTCGTTCTGATACTCAATGCTCTGGAGGACTTTCTCAAACTCATTCGGGCTTCCTACACCAAAGACCTTCATCTTGTTAAACCCGACCAGTTCTGAGCGGAATCCTACTGGAAGTGGGGCATCGATGTTGATGTGTTCACGACATCCCATCATGCAACGAATTGTCTGCAAAGAAATCACAGAAAAATCATTAGATTAGATTATTAGCTAAATAGACTTGCAAAGAAAGTTGCTTTCTGTTTGGTTTAAAAAGAGACGATGAATATAGCCTGTGTACATCCGTTTCTCACCCCTCAAAAAATCTCCCCGATTTTTTGAGGGGYGACGATGAATACTCCATTTTCGAATTCATACCGATAACCGCTGCTTTATTTAAAAGCAGATTCTAAACACAAAAGAAAGCACGAGAAAATGTCGTTATTACAATARCCTTGAAAATTTGCATTCTCCCCGAGTTGAGGCTAGCCCTGTATTCCCAAAAGACATAAGRTACATTGTATAAGCCTTCCGRGGATACAGGGCTAGCCTCAACTCGGAGAAAATGTAAATTAGTAACGCTATTGTACAAACATTTTCTCGTRCTTTCTTTTGCGTTTGGTAAGGTCTTTGCAATAGAGAATCTGCTGTCAAATAAAACAGCGGTTATTCGCATGGAGTATTTTCATATGTGAGAAAGTCGCGCAGRGGTTTTCGGATGTATGTAGCCCTTTGAAYACTCACTTGCTGCGAAACTGGCTTTTTCAAGTTAATCGCCATTCCAGATAACTTCCCCCTGAAATACTGCGTATATGCCTGCTCTCGTCCAAGCCAATGTGCCCCAACATACAGCCCTGGTCGKATCTTAGACTTGTGCATRCGGAAATTCGAGTCRACYACTTTTGCACTTTGRTGTTCGCCATCGACATACAACTTTACGCTRCATCCATCGACAACAACAGTCAAGTGATGCCACCTTTGATCAAAAATGTTGGGTTTGTAATGGTAATCCGAGTTACAGTAGTCATTCTCTCTTCCACGTAATGGTGCAAGACGGTGGATCACAGTGAGACGGTTCCTGTTTTTGACCAGGGCAAAGTGCATTCGGTTGTGTGATTGCTTATCTGTGTTGGCCATGATGACCTGCTTTCCTTTTTGCAGWCCTGTCTGGATCCATGTGCTTACGGTAAAGTGTTCACTGAATTCACCGCCAATGACTTTACTGGGGATTTTTGCAACGGTAGTTTTTCCGTCAAAGAGGAACGCATCTCCAACTGAAAATATATAAAAAAATAATGATACAACAYTTATAATCAATTCAGACTTACAATCTTAATGGGCAATGGTCAACCAAGATATTTTCAAGCTTTTGTTTGTTTTAAATATAAATACATCGTAATACAAGCAAAAACTTTCTCTTTGATATCCTTTTATGCTAGAGCAAACGCAGGAAAACCATGAAATAAAATCAAAGTAACTACTAACTAATAGCGGCTATTTAKAGACAGTTTGTCAGTATCRWTGAACCAGAACACAATGAAGATGAATCCACATGTGACCATTTGTCATTCATCTTTATTGCGTTCTGGTTCATTGAGACTGACAATTTGTCTCTAAATAGCSGCTRTTTGTAAGTATTTAGTTTGATTTTATTTCATGGTTTTCCTGCATTTGCTCTATATGAATGGAGGTATTGTAACCTTAAAACTGATGAATGGAAACTGGTCTCCTCTTGAAGGAGTCTCATTCCCAGGTCAGCCGTTAGTACAGGAGAGACCTGGGAATGAACCTCGTAACGGCTGTGAGAGGAGGCTAGATGGAAACGGATTGAAAGTGGATACTTGAAGTAATTTTCCATACATACTTGAGTGGATTCCGTATGAGTGGGACACCGTTACCGCACGGTTACCGCACAGTTACTGGACCTCAGCCTGCTCAATTTTTGTGAACCAATGGGGCACTAGAATTTGGTTACAGTACGATTATGGTCACAGTACAGTACCATCCGTTTCCCACTCATACGAAATCCGCTCTAAACTATATTATGGTTATGATGCTTCCCTGTACTAAAATGTGATTAGTCACAAAATCATCATCACTAGCTACAACTACAACAACTACAACAACTACAACTACAACAACAACAACAACAACAACAACAAGAGCAACAAAACATACCCCTTGCTAGATCCTTAGTCCACTTCTTCTTTGTAGAAGGCGTTGGCAGGATATCAACGAAATTGCTGGTCCCACAAAGCTTATACATGCTAGAGGCATCATATCGCTGCCTGTCACAACTCATTCCTGCCTTGGTCTCTAATTGAATCATGGCAGAGAAGGACAAGTCGGACTTCCTGTCACATCCCTTGCTTGGGACAATGCTGATATCTGGTCCAACAAGAGCTTTACCGATACACTGAGGGATGGTAATCTCCTCAAAATCTGGTTTCCTTAGTTCTAAAAAAAAATGGAATTTTGTGAAGAACAACTTCAACAAAAGTTCAAGAGGATTTGTGTGTGTTGTTGATTCAAAAAAGGCACTATAGTATTAAGTAACAAACTCAACAAAGTTTGAAGCAATATAAAGAAAAACCAGATTCTATGACAAAAAAAATTGTTTTTTCTCTGAACAGGTTCCGTTTTTGACTATTTTTTTTACTATAATTTCCATACTGGCTCCCAGTCTCCTYTTGAATTTTGGAAAATCCAATTTTCTTACCTATCTTGCAACGGTGATAGATGTACACTGTGATATTGGTTGGAATAACTGATGATCTTCCACCACAGTCTATTGCAGCAACTTGGAAGGTACAATAATCAGGTGCTTTGTCATCAAGAGGCTTGTCCAAGCTAAGAACACCTCTATCATTGATTTTAAATGGCACATCCTTGGTAATAATTTCATACTTGCAGACTTTACCGTTTTCATCACCAATGTCTTTATCAGTTGCTGCAACCTGAGGACATAACAATGAACATGACATTATTGTAACATAACATTAATCCCACAACCAACTGTTAGTTAGGCTGGTCACAACAACAAATGCAGAACAAACAAAGGGAAATTTCCATGTATGATAGAACCAAGGGAGGACATAAGTGGAAAACGTTTCCATTTCCTAATGTTTGTGTTTYTGTTAATGTTATTGTTAACTTTAGTATTGTAGTGTGGGACAAAAATCTGAATGTGACTTTGCCAGAGATGGCCTATTCATGATAGATAGATGACATTAGATGATATTCATGCATAAACAAGCTTCTGTTTCTTTTTCTGCTTATGTTGTTGTATGAATCAGTTTGTAATGCTCAGACTTTCTCATGAGATGACACTTATTTTGGAATGAGRCAGATTTTTTCTAGCACACAAAAAACTCATTTTATTTCCACCTTAAAGGTTGCTAAGTCTTTAAACAAACTTATCTTGATCTATTTATCTCTAAAAAACACTTMAATTTCAATAAAAAAAGATTTTTAGGCTTATATATACTATGCACATTCGCACCTTGAGRATATTTGGATAGAGTCTCTCTCTTTCCACCTCCCCAATGTACACATCGCTCTCAAACTTGGGAGAAAACTCATTGACATCGACCACCTTACACGTTACACCAACAGGAGGGGATTTCTTGTCTCCTCCATCAAAAGCAACAATGTCRAAGGCATAWATGTTKGTTTTCTCTGCATCAAGATCTTGTGTTGCAGTCACTTCTACTCCACCATCTTTGTTCACATCAAACCTGAATGGGATTCCAGTCTGCTTGACTTTGATGCTCTTTAGCTGGCCTAGACTACCTTGGTCTGGATCGATTATGCGGATGGGCGGAAGGACTTGTACTTGTCGAGAGTTTTCAGCMACAGCGCAGATGTACACTTCATTTTCACTGATGTCAAGTTTRGGTGCATGATTTTTYACRAGGATATCAAAGCGCACCTTTGCGTACACTGGTTTGTTGGGGTTTGCTTTGTTAGTAGCTTTGACTGTGAGCTGATAAATTTTCTTCTGGTTGCCGTTGAGTTTCTTYATAAGCCATATGTGACCTTTTTSRTCCACTTYAAACGGTGTGTCAGGATCCATTATKGTGTATGATAYAGATCCTTTGCCACCGATTGCACGCACATGCATCACGGTTGCATTTACCCTGTGGTTTTCACTGATTGCCTTGGCATATTGCGGATTCACAAATTGGAACTCTGAAACTTTAAAAATAAAGTGTAAATGAGTTTTTATTGAGTCCAAGAAACATTCACTTTACAGTAAATTTTATCTCAGTTTCAATTCATTCAGTGCACAATATTAAAATATATGCAGGGCTTGAAATAACGTCCAGACATATGCAGGACAAGATGTCCTTCCAAATTCATTTTTGGCGTCATGTCAAGTTTTGAAAGGACAAACTTTATTATACTATTATTTCTTTTAATTTATAGATTTTTGTATTCAGATACATCGGCAAGCATTTAAATGGCTTGTAAAAAGATTTATTTAGCGAATTGAGAATTTGTCTAAAAATGTGRCAGGTCAATTTGTCCTTTCAAAACCCGATTTGKCYGGTCATCTAGYGAATTTGTAAGGACATTGTACTTTGACTGTCCGTTATTTCGAGCACTGTATATGCGTGAAGAGGTATAATAAAACATGAATCTCTCAATTTCTCTTGAAGTGAATTTAATTGAACAGATTATTCTAGGGTTTTCAAATGTAATGAAAATCTGAAAATAAATAAATGAATTTTWTTAACAATAACAAGCCACCAAGTGGGTATCATTCAAAGTCCAACATAAACATATCTGTATTTTATGGTTTAAAAATATCACAAATAACGAGGTATTTCTGATTTCATTGGTTTGTCAGCCCTATAAATCCAAATCGGCTTTCAAATCAATAATGCAGAGCAAACATATCTGGGTTAGGCTCACCAAAATATTCGAGAATCAAAACAAAAAAAAATTTGCGGTTTTTGACCACCAATGCAGCCGCGGAAGTAGACGTTTGTCTACAGCTTGAATAAATATGAAACGACAAACTCTTTTATATTCTAAAGAGCTTATTTTAGACATGAATCACAATCTAAATACGGAGTTTTCTACATCGGCAAAGAGAATAATAAAATGAATAGTGAACTTTTTTTTCGAATTTGAATGCAAAAATACTGTATATTACCGGTGTTAATTTCTTAAATATACAAAAATGTTTTCAATATATTTACCTGTGGAAACGCAGATTAATTATAATTTCAAAAATTCGTAATTTTTTAAGGGTTAAAGTGTTGATGAGCAATTGAAGGGGTTCCCCTYGTGCGACATGACAAAATATCAAAACAACTAAGGCTTTGGGAGGTAAATTGCGCACAATACACTTCCCAGCCTGATATGGAATTTATCTTAACTATATTACAATTACAAAGCTTAGATTATAAAGCTGAATAGTCGATGCAATAAAATTTTTGTGCGACAGGAAACAGAAAATCTATTTCGCCCTCTCAAAACTGCACGCAAAGGTCTCTCTCTTTCACTAAAAAGTGAAAGGTTTCCTCGAAGATTTTATGCAAACGGTAAAAAAGTTATGGACTTTGAACTTTTATCCTCACTTAAAGCGTAAAAGTGTATAAATTTGTCATAAAATGGTTATACATAAACGAAAGCGCATCCTTGAATTCTTTATTTATTGTCCACGAAATTTACATATTGGTACAGTGTYACTGAAGTCCCTCGAGGAATTATTTCCAAAGACTTTGACTTTACAAGCAAATCTTAAAATGAAGCACTTATTCATTCGTAATTAATAGCGATAGGAAGCGAATATTTCAAAAGGTTTCGCAAGTCAACGAGGAAGCAAAAATTGATGAAGTTCCAAGATTACACGGAGGTTTCGAAGTGTGAGGGCTTTCTGTTGACAGCTTCTGTAAACATAAGTTACAATTATTTCAAATTTAGGACTTGAAATCTTCATCAAACTCTGTAAAATACATTCACAACATTATGTTACAAAGGAGAGGTTCAAGTCGAGCGTAAAGAAAGCAGGATATTACTAAGAATGGAAAAATTACAGTCGCTTCTTCAGCTAATTCACTTCTGTGTAGATTTTTTTTACTAGTACCTTCGCTCATGTGTTGCTATTTGAAATTCGCCTCACGTCTAATGTTTTGGGTTAGAATTTCGAGCAGAATAATAGAAGAAAATCGATTTACTTTATAGATTTAAATATTAAAAGTGATTTATGACGGACATTTACTATGTTACGAGCGCCTCTCAAGCGTAACAAGCTTCGGCATGACGAAAAAGTTTCTAAAAAGAAATCACCAATCCAACATCTTCTAACTCAAGAAATACCTTGCAATATCTTAACTATCGAGTTTCCTGCCGAATAATCTAACGAAAAAAATCGATTCAACGACTAACATTCGACAAAACGTATTGAAATATACTAACAATGTCAAAAAACAACAACAAGACGTGCTAGTTTTTACCTTTTTTCTTGTTCTTTTTCGCTTCGCTCGAGGCCAAGATCGCCACAATTAGCAACAGGAACGCTAAAGAGAACCTGTCAAACATCTTATCGATCGAGTACTGTCAAAAAAACACCATCCACGGCATAAAATCTTTAAAAATACTTCGACAATCTTGGTTACTCAATCAGGCGTTCGATTATGTTCGCCGTCTTCTTCTTGAAGCTTGCATGAGGTGTGACGTCACTCATCACGTGATCCACCCCGTTGGGGTTTAATTTTTTCGATTTATTGGTTGAAAAAAATATTCCACATAAAGCTGGCGGYGTTCGTTAACACAATTACGGGACATTACTTAAAACAGCTCCAGGAAAATGCAACTTCGCAGCTTTTAGATATTTTGTCAGATCTAAATAGAGTTGAATCGATAGGAGAGATAAGAATTTACCTTGACCGTTGCTCAAGAAAAAAAAAGGAAAGCGGCGAAAAAAGAAGGAATTGAACAAATATTTTATGTTTTTTTTTTAGGAAACAAGATGATTTCTATATGTAATTCACTATATGTAATTCACACTTGAAAAAAGTATAGTTAGAATAAAAAGATAAAAAAAGAAAGACAAAAAAGTTGGAATTCATCTTAGCCTGGAAATTAAACCCATCATTACCAGATCCATATCAATATTGTCCCGATGTTACTCAAAAAGCTGTTAACATGAGAGCCACACTATTTTTTTTTCTTAAGAAAACAGAAAATGAAGAGAAAAATGGGAATGTGGAAAGAAAATAAGAAAGAAAATTGAGAAGAATTCACAAAAAGTGAAAGTATGAGAATTATTCTCATTCTGTTTGCTATCAAGTTTGTTCTACTACTCCAATTCAATAGAACAAAAGGGAGGGGATTAGAAGGGGATAAATTACATGTAATGGCTTATAGGATTCAACAATTTCTAAAAAATAACAAATAAAAAATAATAATTCTTAATCTCAGCATGTTTCAGCATTTTTATGGCATTTTAATTTTAGTTTTGTTACATAATAAAAGCATAAACATGTTACAAAAAAAAAATACACACACACAGAATGTACCAGACAATAAGTTAATGAGAAACGGAAAAGAATCGGATGCAAGAGAAAATCATTTTTAAATGTAAAATGTCCAATTTTTCCCCCTCTAATGTTTCTGCTTTTTTATGTAGCAAAATTAAAATTAAAATGCCATAAAATGCTGAAACATGCTGAGATTAAAAGTATTTTTAAATATATTTGAAAGTTTTGTTTATGTCTGACTTGCTATAAAAAGTTGACTTTGGCACTGACATTACCATGTCTGCAGATTATATATTCAGCAGGTGACATTAAAGTAGAATTAAAACATTGTCTGCCGCTTAAAAGGTGTTGAGTTCACAGTATTGTTTTAAATAATTCTTTCAACATTTTAGATCTAGATATGAATTTGATATCTTTATTTATAAGCTCCTTTTGGTATAATTGTTGTACGTTAAAATAAGCATTAATGGTAGCCAAAGGTAACTACATTAATGTTCTTAATGCTTCTTATATCCTTGTCGATTTACGTGCAATCAACTACAACTAAAACAGGTGTCTTGAAACTCGAAATCTCATAAACCAAGATTTTCTTCTATTCATCTTCTTCCATTTTTTCCTTGTAGATTTTAATAAACTTGATGTTATAAAGCTGTTATCTTCGATCCAGCGGTTTTCCATAACAACTCGATAGTATATTCTTCATTGGTTGATTTTGGTTTTAATTTTCTTAAAAGTCAAACACTTATCTGAACTTAGATCAGGTTTGATGACAAATGAGCTGCACTCATTTGGTCGTTAGATTTTACCCTTCACGGCTGTCAATCATTATTTTTAAAAACTGACATTACTATTGACCTGCATAGCCACAGGGATCCCAAGAGGGCTCCTTCGCTGGCTATATTACAGTATTATCTATAATTAATATTGTCTACCTACTGATGTACTGTATCTATTTCTGAGCATTTTCTACTTGTGAACCAGCCATTTTAAGAAGGTTGTCTCCACTCCCTGAAACATTGAAACAATTAAATATTATTTAAATTCCATTAAGGTGTTCTGGGGGTTCAAATTCTAAAAAGGTTAATGACAGCTGACAACATTTGAATAGTGAATGATTGAGCTAATTTTAACCACCTTAAACAGCAAGCAGGCCACTTGATTTGAATCAATTGATTAATCAGAACATAGCAATGCACTGTAAACTACATCTAAGCATACCTATATTTTCTGATACTTTTTCGAATGAACTCAGAGCAGCATTAGAATTGGCAGCCAGAAATGAGACCTCTTGTGGCTTGAGCTTAAGATAAACACAGCAGTGAACTACATGTATTAATCCCTTTGTTAAGAATGTAAGTCTAGTAGATGGACAGACAGACAGTTGGGAGGGAGAGAAGGAGTCAGGGATGGAGGGATAAACTGACGACTGAATGAACTCTGGTTGGAAAGATACCAGAAGATCAAGAATCTTGATTGTGCAATATATATGCATGCTGATGCAACATGGGAATTTTTGAACCAATCAAATCAAAGACTGATCAGTCTCCAACTAGAGCCTAGGACTTTTTATTGGGAAACTGAGTAGGATCTGGGTACAACAGTTAGTGGAAGAATTTCATCTGTGAAGAAAGCTAGGTTGATCACAAGAGACAGGGAAGCATGACAGACGAATGATGGCAATAAATGGATGAATACACTTTAAATAAATGGATTCATGAATTAAACTGTCTTTAAAAACTTGAAATAAAGATAATGGACCTTTTCTGAAATACAAAATCATAGTGCATTGTAGTCTAGCTTCAGTATAAACAATGCCATATTTGGCAGCAACAACAAAACTAGATGTTTGTACCGAATGTAGACCCAAGCAATGCAAACTACTATTATATCTCAGAAAAGGTCTATAGTTATGCAGTACCTGCTCGCCTAGTTTCTTTAATGCTGTTAATATTTCTACAGCTTGTTGTGTGTATACATCTTCACTCATATGTCCTGTTTTCAAATCTCTTTGCATCTAAATTTTGAATGAATTATCATTAATAATTAAAATATCTTTAATTCAAAATAATTTTCATATGATCATCATTTTATATCCGTACCTCTGCCAGTCTCTGCCTCAACTGTCCAGGTTGTTTCTTGGCGAACATTCTGATAACTTCAGGAGTTTTAAAAGCTTGACTTATGGCAGCTTGAATAGCCTGTGAAGAAGACCAAGAATGCCTTGCTTTAGAATGACTTCTCCCTATTTCTTAATTCTAAACCAAAATTAACGATGGCAGAAGGACTACGCACAACCTAAATCATGCATTTGTTAACTGTTTTAAGTAACAAACTCTTTGACACTTTCGCAAATTTTTATCATATAGCACTGTTTTAGTTCGCTTGCTGAAATTGAACATGTTTAGCTGAATATTTATTGAAGACAATTTGTCAAAGGCACATTCAACTGATATGAACTACAGGCAAGATTTGGCCAAGCTAGCCCCAGTCCTTACACAGGTATCCTGAATAACAAGTAATTTTTAGAGAAATACACTATACACCCTTTTAATAAGTCCCGAGGTATTGTGTTCTCCGCACTTTGACGTCAAATTAATTTACTCGAATTCCTTKTGTCGGTAAAAATTTCAAAAGAATAAATTTGACGTCAAGTGCGGAAAACTCAATATCTCGGGACTTATTAAAAAGGTGTATACAGCTTGGTCTTACCAACTGCATACTGTTCAAATCATCAACAAGGGTCATATCACCAGCTAGCATCTTATCCAAAGAAACTTTAAACTCTTTGAGCTGTTCTAATGTTTCTTTCTTGGTTTCTTCATATTCATCTTCATCAAGATCTTCTCTGGAAAATAATTAAAGTGTATTTATCCATCAGCTCTGTATAATTTGATATAAGTTAACTATAAGGTGAATGTTCCTTTTTTCTTATCTAATGTAGTACATATGTAAAAACAACATAAAAATTGAAATTGAACAACATTTCCAAGTGAGCGTAAAAGCACATTCAAGTGATGTAATAATTTTTAAAAATAACACAACACTTTTAAATTTCAAAGACATGTTTCGACTTTCATAAAGCCATCTTCAGTTTGAATGTGATTACATTTTACAATCAGTTATATAGTAGTAATAGATAATGTATAATGTAATCACATTCAAACTGAAGATGGCTTTATGAAAGTCGAAACATGTCTTTGAAATTWAAAAGTGTTGTGTTATTTTTAAAAATTAAATTGAACAACCTAATTATACACCATCTTTTTTATTAAACAATATTTATTTCCCCCTGAAATGAGTGGGAATGGTGAACGCCAACAGAAGCAGTTTTAAAAATACTTTGGTCTGTGTTGAATTTTTGAGACAAAACATTTATATGCCAAACCCACTAGTTTTGRATGTTATGAGTTCAACATGATAATAATTTTAAGCAGACGGAGTAAATTTTGATAATACAATGAACTTTATTTTAAGAGGGTAACACTTGACAGTATTAAAAAAACACTGATGAACTCGTGGCCCTCTATGATAAGTGACCCATAAATTATTCAACAACATAAACTGTAGCCTCCATTTCATCTGTTTTCATTTTGGGCTTCAGAAATGCTGAATGATCAAATTGTGTATTWA